ATGCGTGGAAGCACAGAACTCATCAAAACCGGGTAAGAAACGCGGGCGGGCGGGTGGGCTCTTCGGCGTTCCCGGAAGTTACTTACTTCCGGGTTCGCCGACCAACCGGTTCGCGGGGACCGCGCGCGAACCGCCTGAAACCCACCCCTGATGACATCCAACTGCAAAAGGTGATCGTGCGACCCCCGTCAATCGTCATAAATGTGAGTCAGTTGCCAAGCATCCAAATGTAAATGGCGTGACTATGGGGACGCTGCAATGTGGAAAACGGTCGTAAGTCACTTTTTTCCCGGCGCCGTGGTCATTAAGTGAACCGCTGTTAAGTCAGAGTCTACTGGTGCATTGCAAGACTCAAGAGTTGACTTGCAAGCAATGAAACCTCCAGGATATCCTCGCAATGTTGGCTATTGGGGTGGGGGTCTTTTGGGGTGGGGGGGAAATATCACTTTGGGGGTTGGAAGAGACAGAATGAGGCCCCATCTCAGCTACAAGCATCCAAGCCCCACCAGCCCCACCAAAAGGGGGGAAAACTCCATGGAAGTTGAAATTGAAAACTGAAAATGAAACGGGAATTCGGTGGGAGAAATGATGAAAAAGGAACATGGGCTGCCAGGTACATAAAGGAGGACACCAGAGCCCTTCGCTTCAGTGCTTCTGGAGCACAGAGGGGGACCCATCGCAGAACCCACGGCTGGAACCGCTCTGCGCCCTACCATGCCCTCCAAAAGGACTCCGGTGCCCATGGGGCTGCTCTGCCTGGTGCTCCTGCTGGCTGCTCCCACCTGGGGATCAAACTGCAACCTTCTGAAACTGCACCAGCGAAGACTGAACCGGCAGAGCGTGGAGCTTCTGAGGAGGGTGAAGGGGAAGTTTCCGGCGGAGTGCCTGCGGAAGATACCGGTGTTCAGTTTCCCCGTAAAAATCCTCGGGATACGAGAGCCGCGGGAGGCCACTAAAGCCGTCCTGGAGGTGCTTCAGGGGTTCCTGCATATCCTCAAAGATGAGCACCGGTGGGTCGCCTGGAAGGCCACCTTGCAAAAAAGGTCAGTCCGGTTTTTCTTCTCCTTCTTCTCCGGTGTGTTTGTGTGTATCTCTGAACAGGGAGTCCTCGACTTACGACGGTTCACTTAGTGACCGTTAGAAGTTACAACGGCAGTTTAAAAAAAGAGAGACTTAGGACTGTTTTTCATACGACCGTTGTAGCATCCTTCATGGTCACGTGATCAAAATTTGGGTGCTTGGCAACTGAATCTTATTTATAGCAGTTGCTGAGTCCCGGGGTCACGTCATCCTCTTTTGCGACCAAAGAAGGCGGCAAATTCACTTAACAACCGTGTTGGTAACTGAACAGCGCAAGTGATTTACTTAACCGCTGTGGCAAGGAAGGTAATAAAATGGGGCAAAACTCAACTTAAGAAATGTTTCGTTTAGCAGGCACATAGATTTTTGGGCTCGACTGTGGTCGTAAGTAGAGGACTACCTGTGGTAGGCTGGGATCCAGGGAGTAGGACAAAGTGGTTGAGGAAAAGTAATTAATTTTTTCCTCTCAAATCCTACAGTTTTGCCCGAAATGTGCTTTTTTTCAAAGGCAACCTGAGGTTTGTAATAAATTAATGAATTATTATTAATAATGAAATTATTAGTAATAATTGAAATCAATAGATGGGGAAATTTGCAGCCATCCGAAAGCACTGGAGAGGATTCTGATAGAATTTATTTTTAAACTCCTCCAGGGGCTCAAGGTTGTAGGCAGAAGACTTTTAAGTTTCCCAATTCTTCTCCCACCCCTCCCAACAACACCCCTGTGAGGTAGCTCCCAAAAAAGGTGCTGTGACTTTCTTTTTTCTTCAAAAACGTTTCGCTTCTCATCCAAAAAAAGCTTCTTCAGTTCTTCAGAAGCGAGGAAGCTCCTTGGATGAGAAGCGAAACGTTTTCAAAGAAATCCCTTTCAATGGTGTTTTTTTCAAAAAGGAAACTGGACTTTCCCTCGAAGAGTTTTTGCTTCCCGTCCAAGGAGCTTCCTCGGTTCTGGCTTCAGTTCTGTGGCGCTTCTTCCAGCTGAGTCAGAACTGAGGAAGCTTCTCGGACGAGAAGCGAAATGTTTTCGAGGTAAAAACAAACTCCAGTTTGGCTTTTGAAAAAAGCACCTTTTGGGACAACCGAGACCCGGATGGCGGAGAAATCTCTTATTTCTTTTTTGATTCCAGGTTCCTCCCCATGTTGCATGCGCAGATTCAGAGGATCCAAGGATGCCTCGGAGAAGGGAAACCCGCGCCAGGAAGAAGGAAGGAGGAATGGATGCACAAACTGCAACTGAAGAAGTATTTCCGCAGCATCGGGAATTTTCTGGAAGAGAATGGACTGGACAGCTGCACCCGGGAGTTTGTCAGGCATGAAATCCAGCTGGACTTCATCTATCTGGACAGGCTGACCGAGAGAATGGAGATCTGAAGGGCGTTTTTCATCTATTTTATTTATTTATTTTATTTTATTTTATTTTATTTATTTATTTATTTTATTTTATTTTATTTTATTTTATTTATTGGACTTAACCCCTGCCTTTGTATTTTTATTTTATTTTTTACACAAATGATACGGACGTTGAATTAAAGGATGCATTCAACGGAAGATCAAATTAAAGAGCCGTTTGAAGGCGGAGACACAAGGAAGCATTAAGGTTTTGATTTTGAAACGAGCTCCATCCGCTGGATTTTTCCAACAGCTTTTTGATGCATTCTGTTATTTATATATTGTGCAATGCTGCCTTTGGAAATAAAAGTGGGCTTTTTTTTTAAAAAAAAAAAGNCCAGGCCTGCCGGAATAGCCAAGTTTTTACAGCTTTCCTGAAGGCCATGAGAGTGGGTAAGGTCCAGATTTCCAGGGGAAGCTGGTTCCAGGAATATCCAGAAACATTTCAACCATGGTCACCAACATTTATCTGCAGTACTCTGAAATCGTAAGACTAAAACCCATGACCCATGCCCAAAAACTACTTGGAAACCCAGAAAACTGGAACTGGAACTCAGTCATGTTGATGCTGAAATTTGAAGGCATGAAGTACATTACCTTCGCTCTTTTTCTTTTTTCTGCATGCCACACTTCCTTGAAAAACAGTCCTCATAAAATAGACAATTGAACTATTGTGAGCAGGCCAAAGGCCCTACTACAGTCTTTCCCACTGGGTGCACACATATCTTAGGCTATTTGCTGCAGAATTGTCTTCCTGAAAATTGCACAAGCGAACTCCTTCTGCAATGAAAGTCACAGGATCTGGAGTTACAAGTTACATTCCATTGCATTCAATCCATCATTTCCAAGCTAACAATGTGCTACTCTGGCTTCAGCAGTTTTTTTTTTGCTTCAGCATTTTTGCAGCAGTGCTCAATGTGCGCACTTCGTATAACAAATCACATTTTACTTTTATCAAATACATTTCCACTGAGCAGCCAGCCAATCTCATATTATGAGCACTGTCTGATTAGCTGTGGATATGTAAATCACCTTTGCCATGAGAGCCATTAGAAAGCAGAGTTGTTCTCTTGGGGTGGCTGCTGCATTTTAAATAATTTGATTCTAAAACGGTATCCAAATTGCTCAGGTAATGACTAGGGAAACAGTTCAGCCAGACCACACCCTTTTCCTTGAATAAGACAACGTTAGTTCAGCGAGTGCCAAACGTCGCCTTTTTCACACCATTAACAAAATGAGAAAGCAAATCTATGAAGAACACATTTCAAAGTCTATTCTGCACATGGCGAGGCACTTAATAAGCTGCTTTCCAAAGTAATCACCAGGTATGTGAAAATAAGTTCTGACTGTCATGCTGAGACCAGTATGTCCTGAATAAATTATTTCTAATATGTTTTACTAAATACAAGCCTTCTTCGGTGCTGACATGAATGCTTAAATCGAGCAGAATTTCCCAGAGTTTAAGATGCACAGTCCCTGATACAAGAAGATGTCTAAAGTAGAGCCACCCTCAAACTGAGCTCAGCTTCTGTTAACCATATGTGAAGCCATGCAGTTTTCTTGGCAATACTGTGGAGATGATTTACGGCTGCTTTCTGCAGGGATTTTTAAAATTATTTTCTAGTATTGCCTGGAATTTAGAGTCTCCCATGCAATACACTCCCAACCAGCTCTACTTCCAAAATTCAGAAAAGGTCATTTCGATGCTTTCACTTTTGGGAGAAAACCAAAATATCAGAACCTTTGGGGTGTTTTTTTTTTTAATGTTTTCATCAAATAGCAATACCTTAATTACTGTTCCATCCAACAGTGTGATAACACAAGAGAAAGTAGAACAGCAAATATGTGATCAATAAAAAAAAGCAAAATCCATACATTAAAAATACAGAAAAGATATATAAGCTACAAGAAAGGTGATTTTGAACCCAGGAAATAAGGTAGCTAATGCTACATTGGGAAGTGATTTTGTTCTTTTTGGATGGATGGAAAGTTTGTTTTATGTAATTTTGGAATGGGTATTATGGGTTGAATTAAATTATTATCTTCATTAAAAAAAAAGCTTACAATTGACATCTGCCATATGGCAAACACAGCATAGAAAATTACTGTATTTAGGATTTTTTTTAAAAAAAGATAAAAATAAGTAACTTCTTTTTTTCTTGAGTCATCACCCATCAGATAAAATCTCAACCTTAGGTTCCAGTGAGCATTCAGGGTAATACTGAAGTTTTATAAAGTTAGTGGCCCTTTAATTTAATACCACCTCAGTCAGGTTGAGCGTCATGGCTTATCCTTGTGGCTGAATATTAATTTTGTCTAAGAGCTGATATTGGGGTCCCACAGAGTAGATTTCAAAAGGCTCCCTCAAAAGTTTTGTTGATCCCTTTGTAGATTAAGAATATGAAGTGAATATTATGGTGAAGTGGGAGGAAACAGATGAATAATTCACAGAGCCTTGAATCTGCCTTTTGGGACATGAATACTGTGTAAGTTTTATTTGTTCCTCTGAATGCAGCCATTAGTCGATTCAGTGAGCTCCAGAAATGCTTAGAAGTGCAAAATTGGAGAATAGGGCAAGATAAGTGATTTCTGTTCTTTATGCTGATAAGGATTCATTGGACTACAACAAAATTGGGATAATATGGCTTTCAGTATTATCTCTTCAGTCCAGGAAACAAGCAAGAGCAAGTTTAGTGCATGGCTAATCCTGAACTAGAGGTTTAACTTCAGCTATAAATGTTAAACCTCTATCGTCTTCTAATTTGTTTTCTATTATTATCATTTTGTTTGGAAGGAAACCTTTGCTGGATTAATTATCCCTCCGGGGAATTTGCCAACATTCCTTTTTTATGCTAAGTCTTGTTGTGAAAAGCTTTTTGTTTCCAAGGGTTGATGGTAATTCCTTTACTTCTTCAAATGCTGGACAAACGAAATTGTTTTCCTTTCATCAAAATATATGTTTGGGCCACATTGCTATAATTTCCTCCACAATGAGTTTGTAATCTGTGGTCCAAATTAAATAATATCAATTAACACTTAGTGTGATGCTTCAAAATTCCCATACATATTATGGGTGCTGAAGTGGAAATATAGAGCAACTGTCAACCTCAAATTGAACCTGGCAGAAGCCATTTTTCTATTCCTCAGTTGCCACACAGAGTGGGGAGGATGAAATACATTGCTAGACAAAACACAGAACTTTCTCGTGGCAACCAAGGTCATCTCTACAGGTGGTGGATAGAGACAGGGAGGAGTGCCTGGAGAGCCCACCAATTAACCTAATTGGCTAACATGATCTTTGACTTTTGGGGAGAGAGTTATTTCCTATTTTAATCACACTGAAATCATGGGGAACATTTGGAATTGGTTTTCCATTTGATTGTGCCAATATGACGTACCCAATAAAGAAGTTCTTAGAGGAAGACTTTAGCCTCAGAGTTCTGATTTGCTTGGGTTCATTAGTCAGGGTCATGACAGCAACTGCTTCAATTCTAGCTCAAACAGAAAAGAAGGATTTGGAATTTATATGCCAATGAAGTCGCTCCTATGTCATCTTTACACTTATCTACAACTTTTGCTGAAGGCTCATCTCTGTTTTTTGGGATATGAGAAACTGTTTTCTCATATGGTCCTATAATATCAGGTCTCTCGTACCTGACTAATTAAGAAAATTTTGGCCTGACCAACACTTGAGTTCCGATCTGCATCTGATATGCATTATGACACTTCAACATGAGATTTTTGAAAGAGTTCAGAAACAGCTCTAAGACCTGTTTGTACATCAGTTCTTTAAGGAACTGGGTGAACTTATTTCACATTCTCCAGTTCTTTATTTGAAAGCAGATAAAAACCAAGAGTATTCTTTTCTTTATGATACCGTGTGAGGATACCATTTTCCCATTGAGACGAATGTTTGTTTCAACCAATCTTCTTATTCCACAAACTCAACATGACCTCCTACTTTTCCTCCTCCTGACAAATATGGGCAACTTTGGCATGTGAAAACAAAGACACAATTGTTTAAAACAAATGGTAGTATACAATCATTTCACCTTCATAGTTGAATGAGTATTTTCTTCATGTCAACAAAGTGCTTACTATCAATTTACCTAAGCAATAAAAATGCCTATGGAGGGCACTAGCAATTAATGCTCCCTTTCATATGGAATGCCAATCAATATTTTATGAGTATGGGATCAAAGGACAGGACCCTGGGTGGGGGATCTTTTTAAACTTTCCTTTTTGGGAGCTTGTCTCTAACATTTCTGTACTTCTGTCAGCCAAACTTGCAAGGAAGCACACTTCTCCATCCATCATTCTTACAGCTGAAGAAAGTATGGATGATCGCTTCTGAGACATTTGCGGCATCCCCAGGCCTTTTGACTTCTATCTGAACATCCCCAACATCCTTGCTGTCAAACATGGGTGTAGCAGCAGGAGTCAAATTCAACCTTATACAGACTGAATATCTACAAGTTATTTATTACATTTATAGGCTGACAAATGTTACTCTTACAATGGTTTACAAAAAGTTAAAGCATAAAAACACAGAACAATTGAACCCATACCATAAAATTACTCAACACAGTGACAACAACAAAAGCATAAGCAATACAATAGCCATAGGCAACCACCCCCATTCACAGGTGATTTTAATGATTCCATAACGTGTAACACGTGTGAGAAGAGCATATCAAAATTTGATTATTGAACAATAATAGCATATGAGTTATAGCTTTAAAAGTTAAGTATCCTTGGGTCGAGACTGAGTGCTAGTGACTAAGAGAGACAATGCAGATGTGATCAACATCTGTCAGTTTCCTAGTATAACCCACAGTCATTACATTCTCTGAATGAATCCCTTCTAAATGTTAACCAGGCCTGACCTTCCTTAGCTTTCGAGTCCAGGCCGCCTCAGCCAGGTATTACATATTATCCAGTCCAAATGACAGAATAATAAATAGATTGAACTCATCTGTTAC